ACTTAATTATTTTGGTCTTGGAAATCAAGCTGCAATTTTGATAAAGTCATTTTTGTCGGACAGGTCTCAGGTTGTGAAGATTAATAGTCAAGTGTCGAGCGCTCTGTCTGTTACTCGTGGAGTCCCTCAGGGGTCCATTTTGGGGCCACTATTGTTCTCTATTTATACATCTGATTTTGACCAGGTTCTCGAGCATTCGCAGATTCACTTGTATGCAGACGATACACAGCTTCTGCTGAATTTTAATCCAAATAATTGGGTTGATGCCTGCATAAAATTTAACTCAGATATAGCATTATTTTCTGATGTTGCGAAACGCCATGAACTTGTGCTAAATCCATTTAAGTCTTCTGTTCTTCTGTTTTGCGGTAGTGTCACAAGGAGAGCGATTAAGCCTTTGATATCCGGTCAATTGGTGGTGGATGGCGAACCTCTTACTGTTTCTGATGATATAAAAATTTTAGGAGTCACATTGGATCATCAGTTGAGGTTTGAGGAGCATGTGGCCAGGTGCTTGAGGGGTGGGTATGGCGCCCTGCGTCTCTTGTATGCCCATAGGGATGTCTTAAGTAAAAAATTAAAAATTATGCTGTGTGATAGCTTGGTTCTAAGCAAATTAAATCACTGCGACGTTGTTTATGGTCCAAATTTAACGGAGGCGAGTGGGCGTCGTATCCAGAACCTTCAGAACGATTGTCTGAGGTTTATTTACGGAATTCGTAAATATGACCATATTAGTCATAAGTCAACGAAAAATAGGTAAATTTCACTAATTCTCTAATAATTTAAACTAATTACGCATTTTTGCAGTTAACCTTCAAATAAAACAGGTTTTAGGGAACAAACACGCTCTTCAAGCAGTTTCCCTAAATTGTAACACAGCCATTTGGCTTCTTAACTTTTTTTATATAAAAATAAAACAAAATTATGGATTTAGCTCCTGAAATCGCTTGGTGTCCCTCTGATTTGTTTCCCCTTACGATTGCTCTTCTGTATTGACGGTAATTAGATTTAACTTCTGTAAACATGTTATTATTTTTTCTATTTTGTAAACTCTTTCAGTCGTGCCTGAGGAAGGTTTAATTGTAAAACCGAAACAGCTGTAGCACCGATTTAAATAAACTATTTTTCGTCGTACATTCAACCCCAGGGTAATTTAATTTAAAACGTACAATGATCTACCTATGAACCTTATAGGATTGAACTGTATTTCGTTCAAGAGTAAATTAAAATACTCCCACCTGCTTGAGTCATCATGATTTTTTTTTTATTATATTTTGAGTTACTAATGTATCGCTTTATACTGGCATGTCGTCGTATTTTGTTATTTTGTTTGTTTTTTTTTTCATTTTGTTTATTAGTATTGTTAAAAACATTCTCATTTTTGCTTTATATATATATTTTCTATATATTCTGGATTAAGTAGAAGAGCAGTTGGTTAATAACCAAACTGAACTTCGTCCAGAAAATAAGTCTATTTTCTAAGAGTGTATTATTATTTTCTTTCCTTTTTTTTGCGACTTATTAATAAAGGCATTATTATTATTATTATTATTTGTGGTCCATATATAACTTGTAGTATTTTATTATTTAAAATGTCCGTCTTCCCCATACTTTTATAATTTTTATAATCTGCTCATATCTGCTATCGAGTTCCTCGAAAAAGTGTTTTATTGGCTAACATCTCAATTAATTTTCTGTTTTCTCCAACTCTACTTCTTAGATTTCTTATCCGTTCCACTACAGTAATTATCGTAGGGATAATTATAGTTTCCTTAAGTAGGCCCATTATTTTTTGCTTAAACATCGCCGATCGCGTTTAGATAGACCATATAGTATAACATTTCGTAATCGATTTTCCCTTTTCACACTTAGATATTTCAGGGTGAAGTATCTTTTTTAAAATTAAAATGCTTTAATCACAATTCAGTTATAATTTTTTTCAAATTAGTTTGAAACTAATTCAATAGATGATGGTATTAAGCTTCAATTTCTAATGCATAGGTTGCCTATCTGTATATTTACTTTATCTCTGGACTTCACTGTCGTAGTGATACCTAAATATCTAATGCATCTCCTGTTGATGATCCCAGTACTTGGTGAGAAACACGATCTCATGGGAAGTTGAAAATGAAGTAGATCTTTTTGATTTTTTTGAGAGTAACTTCTTTTATTTTAATAAAAAAATCAGATCCTTTAGAACTTACATTTTAATCTGTTCTTGCATTCGAAATTTCTTTAATATATTTAGATAGAATATATTTTAATTTTGCCCTTAATATAATTGTTATACTATAATGAAGTATATGAGTGGATCAGAAGTAAAGTGAACCAAGTCCACTTAAGTTCGTTTCGAGAAAACGGACCGTTTGATTTCGATCCATTTACTAATTTTTTGTAATAGGCAACGAAATTTTTAAAGTTGATATTTTTTATAAATAAGTATCTACACTATTGTTACTTAGGTGTTACTTAAAAGAAACTTCATTATTTTAGCTATACAACCGGTTAAAAGAAAGAAATGTGGACTTACAAGGGAAGTGTCACAACTGTGTCTCACCCTTTACAAAGCCTCCC